AAGCTCCAAGGTCATTTACCAGGTTCCTACAGTCTCTGTAGACTCCAGAAGAGCTTCCGTACTCCCTGTAGGAGATGACCTAGAGCTGGAAGGAAGCAACCCAGCCCAGAGTTTTACTTTAGGCACCCATCCACCAACACAATTTCCCCAAGTTATATCGAAAATTTCTATCATAAGCAAATCCCTGAAGTGAAGCATATGGAGCTGGTGATAACATTTTATTTATAGCCCAGGAGAATCAGGTAAACTTTCTGGAGTTTCTCAAATCTAAAAAAGGTTACAAAAAAAATCCTCCACACCTATACAGCTCAGGTCCCAAAACTAAGGAAAACATTAACTCAAAGAATTAAATTTCTCTCATCATTATCTAACCACAACAAATTTTTCATATAGTAACAAAAAGTTAGGAAACCATTTAATCACCTTTTAATTAGCAAAACATTTGTTTTAAGAAAACAAAGTGTTGGGGTGAGAGTCAAGGATTTATGCTGATGCATTTTTCAGACTTCTCAAGAAGTCAGAAACTACCAGAAGTCTTCAGGTCAGCCTGGCAAAGAACAAACCACAACAACATTTATGAGTACAAACAGATTATTCCCTTCTCAATATGGAAAACTACTAGACAGAGGTAGAAGGTGTTCATGATCCCAAAGAAACCTATAAAGATCCCACTTATTTTGGCAATGTAATTCTGAGTCCTAAGTGACTTGCATCCAAAAAAAAACATCAAAATTCAAGCTCGTATTTCCCATACTGCAGCAGGTCACTGTCTCCCTTCCAAAACCAAAATATCTACAAAGTAAAATAAAGAAAAAAAGAAAAAAAAAACACCCACAAAAACCCAAACACCCCACTCCTCAAAAAATCATTTACCCATTATTCTTACCATGTCAAACTCCCTTACTTCTGCAAGGCAACGATCTATGCAGAAGTAAAGCTCAAGGAGCTTAAAAATGTCTTAACCAGGGTTTAAATCTCATACTGACCCTGTGCGTACAGATGAATTGCATGCTCTGTGAAACAGGCTCTTTCTCTAGCACTGTCACACTGAAATCTTGCTGCTTAACTGTAGAGCCATGAAATTAGTCAGGCAACAAACGCTCTGGGGCAGAAATGATTCAGAAAAACCTCATTCTAGTTAACAGAATGCATTTACAAGTTGAAGAGGTACAGACCACCAATCCCGAATGCCTTATTCCCTGTGCGAACAGTGGTGAACGATCATATCAAGGAGAATCTAGGCTCAGAAAAAGCACGCGAGGCTGCAAAGGAGCAAGATTAGATAAACAGTTGTATCCTCTCATCGTAATAATTCTTCTTGCCAGACAGTCTCCAGACAATTAATACTTATCCGTAAAAGAAGATCTGGGTGCTTGCCAGGGGTTTTTTGCAGGGCCACAAGGAGGTCATTTGCTGTAAGACTTGTCTAAGCCTTATATACTGCTCCTCAAAACCCGCTCGAGTTGTTTTTTCCATTCACTATTTTAACACAGACACACAACCCTAACATCATGGCACATACACTTACATTGTGGAACAGGATTGTTCTAATAAGACAAAAATTACTGTAACAGAGGAATCTTTTCATTTCAGAGCTGTTTAAGGATACACTTATACTGCAGCTTACATAGGAAAACCAAAAATAACCCTTGCTATCTCAGGTAACAGTAGGAAGACAGGCACGCAGAGCAGAATTCATCATGGACTAAGTATTTCTCCAGCTTCTTGCACCTCTCTCCTTTACAGCACAGAGCTCCACCTTGCTGCTGTGGCACTTCTAGCCATACTAAAGTTTGCTGTGACTGACATCAGGCATACTCAGATTAAAGAGGAAGAAATAAATTAGTAATCACCAGTGATAAGACTGCTCTACATCTCGATCTCCAGAAAGCCTTCTGACCAGGCTGAAAGCACACATACTCTTAAAAGGCAACAAATGCAAAACTGAGCATGATACTATTTCCACATGCTCCTTGCTAGAGCAGAACTGCTTCACCTTCTTTTCCTCTCCTTCACTGTTTCGCAGTTTTGTAGAAGGATACAAAGGTTGAAATACTGCATTTAAATCAAATGAGAGAACCTCCACAACGCAGATGACTAGGCCCTTTCGGTAACTTGCTATTCAAACAAGACATTTGGTAATACATTTGGCAGGAAAATACAGACTTGCTATTTATTTTCTCTAAGTACCAAATGTTTTGTTAGACACTTAACTTCGAAGGCAGAATGGGAAAAAAATGAAACCCTGTCTATGAAAAGCACATTAAGGCTTATTAATTTACTTCATTCACCAACACATACACATTTACACAACCACTGTCCTATGGATTTCAACTACTTCTACCGTTTAAGCAGCCACAGGAGTGTCAATCTGCATCAGAGCTGCACACTCCAGTTTTAGACCATTTAGGTTGACCATGACTTCCTACAGATGCGTTTTAGCAAAGAGGCCACAATAGGTTTTCAAGTCCTAAGCAATGCCAGTCCTGCTTGGGACCTGCCCTGAGGAACCAGGAGAACATTTCCAGCCCTATACTTTTCTGTGTACAAAGTACAATCACATTGATACATCTCCACCTCTCCTCAGTATCATAGAACCATAGAATGGTTTGGATTGGAAGGGACCTTAAAGACCATGTAGTTCCAATCCCCCTGCCATGGGCAAGGACACCCTCCACCAGACCACATTGCCCAAAGCCCCATCCAACCTGAACACTTCCAGGGATGGGGCATCCATAGGTTCTCTGGGCAACCCGTTCCAGCATCTCACCACCCTTACAGTGAAGAATTTCTTCCTAATATCTAATCTAAATCTACACTTTTTCAGCTTTAAACCCATTACCCCTTTTCCTATCACTCCATGCCCTTGTAAAAAGCCCCTCTCCAGCTTTCCTGTAGGCCCCATTAGGTACTAGAAGGCTGCTATAAGGTCTCCCTGTAGCCTTCTCTTCTCCAGGCTGAACAACCCCAGGCACAGAGGTGAGACTGAGTAGCCTGTAGTTCCCTGAGTCTTCCTTTTTTCCCCTTTTTTAAAAATGGGGGTTCTGTTTCCCCTTTTCCAGTCAGTGGGAACTTCACCGGACTGCCACAGCTTCTCAAATACAATGAAAAAAAAAGTGTTCCCAAATCGAAGGGCTGGGGGCTTAGCCACTTCATCCACCAGTTCCCTCAGGACCCACGGATGCATCTGATCAGGTCTCACGGACTTGTGCACCTTCAGGTGCCTTAGATGGTCTTGAATCTGATCTTCTTCTACAGTAGATGGTTCTTCATTCTCCCAGTACCTGCCTTTGTCTTCTGCGACATGGGTGGTGTGGCTAGAGAACCTGATGGTGAAAACTGAGGCAAAAGTCATTGAATACCTTCTCTATATCCTGGGTAACCAGGTCTCCCATTTCATTCTGGAGAGGACCCACGTTTTCCCTAGTCTTTCTTTTATCACTGATTTATCCATAGAAGCTTTTCTTGTTGCCCTTGATGTCCCTGGCCAGATTTAATTCTACCAGGGCTTTAGCTTTCCTAACCTGATCCCTGGATGCTCAGGTAACTTCTCTGTACTCCTCCAGGCCACCCACCCTTGCTTCCAGCCTCTGTGGGCTTCTTTTCTGCATCTGAGTTTGTCCAGGAGCTCCTTGTTCATCCATGCAGGCCTTCTGACATTTTTGCCTGACTTCCTCTTTGTTGGGATGCATCGCTCCTGAGCTTGGAGGAGATGATCCTTGAATAGTAACCAGCTTTCTCATGCCCCTCTTCCCTCCAGGGCTTTGTCCTATGGTTCTCTACCAAGCAGATCCCTGAAGAGGCCAAAGTCTGCTCTCCTGAAGTCCAGGGTAGTGAGCTTGATGTGCACCCTCCTTGCTGCCCTAAGGATCTTGAACTCTGTTTCATAGTCACTGCAGCCAAGGCTGCCCTTGAGCCTCACATTCCCCAACAGCCCCTCCTTGTTGGTGAGAACAAGGTCCAGCATAGCACCTCTCCTTGGCTCCTCTATCGCTGGGAGAAGGAAGTTGTCATCGATGCATCCCAGGAACTTCCTGGACTGCTTATGCCCTGGTGTGTTGTTCCTCCAACAGGTACAGGAGATGGCTGAAGTCCTCCATGAGGACCAGTGCTTGTGGACATGAGGCTGCTCCTATCTGTCTATAGAGGGCCTCATCCACTTGGTCCTCCTTATATCAAGAAAACAAATATTCCTTCACTCATTTCAGCACGCATCAGAAAAAATAACCACTTTGATACATGC